TACCCTTAAAAGTGCATATTATAGCTTGCACATAAGTAACAATATTTATATTGTATTTACATTGAGGTGCCATGAACTGTATTGTGGCAAATAAGGTACAATATATTAATGTTTCTGCTGCAGTGAGATGATGTTTTAACCCTAAAGGTAATTTTTTTTTTTTTTTTTTTTGCACTTTTGACTGAGAGTAGAATATAAAGTATGTAAATTTCTCCCTTCCATTCTTTTATGTATAATCAGAAAGCATGCAAAAAGGCATTATTAAAACCTGGGAATAACTAAAAAAGAAAAAGAGGTACAGCACTTTGCATTCCGTCTCCCTTAACTACTGAAATGATGTTTACGCCTGAAACATCAAATGTATGTTGTTTTTTTCTGTATGCAGTTCAAAGCACAGCCTGTTCCAAATTCACCTGCATGTGTACCAAAAAGTAACAAGATACTTTGCCTTTAATTCGTTGTCCACAGACTGGAATTGAACCAAACCTTGTGGTAATGGTTTGTTTTCTTCTGCGGAGGATGTATGCAAATTTTCTCATCTCAGCAGTGATCTGTACCAGTTCCGCTTCTCACCACCTGTTTGTTGGGCATGCAGGACGGAAACTCCCCTGAGTCTATAGAGTCCTAAAACTGCTGTGGAATTAATGTCCTGTGATCGTCCTGAGCTTCCAGTTTGCTATTCAAGTAATAAAAATTGTGAGCTCCACATTTCTGTCATTATTGGTGTTAAGCATGCTAACGAGGTACACATTAACCCCACGTACATCTCTGCTAACTGTATGTAATATTGTCTACTGCTGTGTGTAGTACTTGTAGAAAGTCATACCATTTTCAATTAAGTTTTCTCATAATCAATGGCACACTAATGGCAGAGGGAAACAATCAAGGCTTGCATGTAAAATAAATAAATAAATAAATAAATAACAGTAACTTGCAGCTCGATTCTGATTTTTTTTGTCTGCAACAAACACAAAACAAAAACCTAAACTAAACTTAAACTAAGCTAAACTATTAATGAATAAATCAAACAAATAAACAGGCATAATAAACAAGCAAACGAACCAATAAATAAATAAATAAATAAATAAATGATGTAAGTGAGCAAGGAATTTTGGACAGCATTTATATATATATATATATATATATATATTTTTTTTTTTTTTTTTTTTTTTTTTTTCTAAAGAAGAAAGTGATATTTGTTTTATTTTGGTTAAAAAAATATTTTTGATTTTGTTTTGATTTTTTTTAAAACCATTTTAAGGTCAAAATTATTAGCTCCTTAAGCATTTATTTTTTACTGTCTACAGCACAAACTGCTGTTTTTGCCTAATTACCAGGGCTTAATTTGTGCCGGAACACGCCGAATGCGGATCTAGCACCTCTGAAATTTGATTCGGCACCTCATTTTAATGACCCCCCTCGTCAAACGCCCTCCTCCCCCCTCTGCTGTTCACTTTCACTTTCTTCCGCAACTCTCCAACCCAACTTTCACTTTCACTTTCGTCAGCTACACCCCTCCGCCATCCAGCACCCTGCCCCTTCTTCTCTTTCGTCCGAGACAATAATAATAAATAATATTTTATATTATTCATTATTTATATTATTTATTATTTTAATGTATATTATTATTTTTTATTATTAATATATATTTTTTTCATTTGTAAGGTTGAACTTGAAGAAACAAAACAAAACAATGATATCTGCCTTAATCAGCTGTGATGAATCATATAATAACCCAGTCATGCTGAAATCTAATTTCACAGTGTTGTGCATGGAGGCAAATACATTATATTAGATAAATGGACAAAAGTTTCCTTTGGGATTTTGAGGCCACAAGATAGATAGATAGATAGATAGATAGATAGATAGATAGATAGATAGATAGATAGATAGATAGATAGATAGATAGATAGATAGATAGATAGATAGATAGATAGATAGATAGATAGATAGATAAATTATTTATATCATGTCTCCTAATTTCCTATCCCAACGCTGTTTCACAATTCATCATTCATTCCTTTATTCGTTTTCCTTCAGCTTACAGTAATCTCTTATTTATCAGAGGTTTCCACAGCTGAATGAATCACCAACTATTTTGGCATATGTTTTACACAGTGGATGGTCTTCCAACCACAGCCATACTGGGAAACATCCGTACACACTCTTATTCACAAACACTCAGACAATTCCGTTTTTTCAATTCACTAATACTATTCAAGTCTATGGTGTGTGGAAATCAGAGCACCCGGAGAAAACCCACATGAAAACGGGAAGAACATGCAAACTCCACACAGAAATCTTCTTCAGCCGAGACTTAAACCAGCAACCTTCTTGTTGTGAGTGCTAACCACTGAGTCAATGTGTCGCCCTGTATCTCATGCCATTTCATTACTTTTTAATTTAGTGGCTGATTTATATGAATTAGTACATTTTCCTTTGCACAATTTAAAACGATTTGCTTACCGTCGATTGACAGTTGGCTTTGGTGCCACACTATCTTTAAAAATCATACATTTCCATACAACTAATTAGCTATTAAACTGACTAAATCTAAAATAGATACATTTGCCTGTGAGATCAGGCTGGAAAAACAAAACAAAGGTTATAGTAAAAGACAATCTATTAAGCCATAACAAATTCAAATAAATCAAGACCTTAAAATACACTTGACTGACTCCCAAAAAACCCAGCGTTCCCTGTTGAAAGCCATGTACCACTGAATGCAAGCACACCAGTCAACAGGAAGGTAAACAGCCCGGGCATTTCACGCTTTGTATTCATCAAACTTTTCATCCTCTATTTCCCTTCACGTATAAAGCCACATGCCCGAGGACGTATAGAAAAGGAGGAGAGTGCAATCACTCACTGGAAGTCCATTGTTTGGTAAGCGCTGAAAGAGGGCAGGAATGATTTGCCTTGTATGTTTCATTTCCCTTCCAACCAAGTGCATCAAAGCTTTTCCTGCTGGTATTACAACGCCATATTTTTCAGAATATCTTTACTGAGCTTGTCTTTTTGTAGAATGTATAAGAATCAATGCATTTCCTCTTCTCGGATAAAGTCATCACGTTGGTCGTTAAGTTTCTGAATTATTTAGTTTTTGTTATTATTTCCTTTCTGACTTGGCTGAACTTTCTAAAAACACACTAGCTGTCAGTGACCTCGTAAATATATATATATATATTGATTTGTTTACTATTGTTATTATCATTATTATCATCCTCATCATCATCATCATCATTATTATTATTATTATTATTATTATTATCATTATTATTATTATTACTATTATTATGCAAAACATGTCACAAGTAATCAATATTTATTTATTTATTTATTTATTTATTTATTTATTTATTTAATTATTATAATAATAAAAATTATTATTATTATTATTATTATTATTATTATTATTATTATTATTATTATTATTATTATTAGTATTATTATTATTATTATTATTACTACTAGTAGTAGTAGTATTGTTATTATTATTTTTATGCAAAACATTTCAAAATTAATCAACATTTATTTATTTATTTATTTATTTATTTATTTATTTTTTCACTTATAATTATTATTATTATTATTATTATTATTATTATTACTATTGTTATTATTAGTATTATTATTATTAATATTATTATTATTATTATTTTTACGCAAAACATTTCAAAGTTAATCAACATGTATTTATTTTTGTTTTTTTATATTTTTTATGCATTTACTCACTAATTTATTAAATTATTATTATTATTATTATTATTATTATTATTATTATTGTTATTATTATTATTATTATTATTATTATTATTATTATTATTATTATTATTATTATTATTATTATTATTATGCAAAGTATTTTGACAAGTAATTAACATTTGTTTATTTATTTATTCATTCACTAATTTATTAAACTTATTATTATTATTATTATTATTATTATTATTATTATTATTATGCAAAATATTTTGACAAGTAATTAACATTTATTTATTTATTTTTGATTGTTTATTTATTATATTAAAACAGATCTTAATATGTTTCTACATAGTCCACATTTCCATATTACAAGTAATAAAATAAGTAAATAAATGAATAAATACACTATCATCATTCAACAAAAACTTCCCATTTGATTTTTTTTCAGTTGTTGTTTTCATTTTGCAAAGCATGTTTATGATTGTTCCATAATGTATCAAACACCTGCCATGCTTTTTTTAATATGTGTAAAAAGAACAAGAAAACACATGCAGTTCACACATACAGTGAACGATTAAACATTCCAAAAGACTGCCGTGTTTGTCTTTCAAGTGCACAAAGTGTAACTGAAGAATTCATCATTTCCAAACCATCGCTGAAACCTGGCTACCTTATGAGGCGTTCTTAAACTTCCACCCTCTCTTTCAATTTCTCTTTCATTCCGACTCTTACATATTGTTTCCAATGTTTGAAGTCTATCGAAGCTATTCATTCTTGAGAAAAAGATGAAATGACGATTCAAACTGTACATGCTGAAGATCTTCATTCTGTTCTCTATTATATCCAGCCATCCGCATCATACTTTCATACCCGGTTAAACCAACATTTTCCAAAGCTTGTGAAACAGTGAACTGTATGAAAATGCATGATGTGTGAAACCCTTTTAACTTCCTTTATGAAGAGAAATGAAAGCCACAATTAATGTAAAGCCTCTTTCTATCATTCATTTATTTACCATACTTGTCTGGGAATCGAAAATAGCAAAAAAAGGTAGTATTCAGTTAAAGAAGCATTGAAGCACTATAAAAAATAATAGTAATTTTAAAAAAAGCTGTAAACACCATATGAAGCTAAAATATATTTATATTAGTCAACTCATGTTCATTCAGTCTTATTTAATGAGACTTCTGACTTTAATAAAGCCATATACTTTAGATGAAACCACATAAGCCCCATTGTTAGGTTAAGAAAACATTGAAACACTCTTTGCAGTGTTAAAAACAGAAGCACCTTACCTTCCTCCCAACCTTGGGAACTTGCTTTTGTCTTTACCATTGTTTGGTCTATGGCCCAGGAGTCCTCCGCTGATGTTAAACTCCATGCAAACTCGGGGTAATATCCATCAGGCCTACGGTCACATGACTTTGCCTTTGAAGTGCAGTCTGAAAAAAGAAAGAAAAAAGATATATTTTTACTAACGTTTGCATATGCAAATGTACTGTATTGTTCAAATATATAACAGAGCAGCATTTTTTGGGCACTGTGGGCCTTGTTTAAATCCAAATGAACATTGTTCATTTACTTATTCATTCATTTAAAAATATTGAGCACTATTTATGTCCACCATATGGATACTCATTAATTTGTTAAAACAATTGAGCACTACTTAAGTCCACCATATGGAAATTGATTGATTGATTGATTGATTGATTGATTGATTGATTCATTCATTCATTCATTCATTCATTCATTCATTCATTCATTCATTCAAACCATAAAACAATATTTAAGTCCACCATATAGATACGCATGGATTCATTCAAACAATTGAGTTATATTTAAGTCCACCATATGGATATTGATTGATTGATTGATTGATTCATTCATTCACTTATTGATTCATAGATTGATTGATTCATTCATTCATTCAAACCATAGAACAATATTTAAGTCCACCATATAGATACTCGTGCATTCATTCAAACAACTGAGCTCTATTTAAGTCCACCATATGGATATTCATTTAGTCATTCATTCATCCAAACTATTGAAGACTATTTAAGTCCACCTCATGGGTATTCATTCATTCATTCATTCATTAATTAATTCATTCATTCATTCAAACGATTGAGCACTATTTAAGTCCAGCATATGGAAACTCATTCATTCATTTATTTAAACCATTGAACACTATTTATACCTTGTGGATATTATACCTTGTGGATAGTCATGCATTCATACAAACCATTGAGCAACATTTAAGACCACCACACTCATTCATTCATTCATTCATTCACTCACTCACCCAAAACTTTGAGCACCAATTATGTCCACTGTAAATATATTCAGTCATTTGTTTGTTTGTTATTTCATTTAATAATTAATAAATAAATTAATCAGTCAATCCATCCATCCATCCATCTATTCATCCAAACCATTGACCACTATTTACGTCCACCATATGGATACTTATTCATTCATTAAAACAATTGAGCACTGTTTAAGTCCACCATATGGACATTCATTCATTCATTCATTCATTCATTCATTCATTCATTCATTCATTCATTCATTCATTCATTTATTCATTCATTCATTCATTCATTCATTCATTCATTCATCCAAACATTTGAACACTATTTAAGTCCACCATATGGATATTTATTCATGCATTCATTTGTTTGTACATTCGTCCATTAATTAATTAATTAATTAATTGATTGATTCATTGATTCATCCAAACCATTGAGCACTATTTAATTCTACCACATGGACACTTGTTCATCAATTCATTCAAACAATTGATCACTATGTATTTTCACCATATGGATACTTAATCATTCATTCATTCAAAACAATGAGCACTATTTAAGTCCACCATATGGATATTCATTCATTCATTTATTCATTCATTTATTCATCCAAACCTTTGATTTTCACCATGTAATTATTCATTCATTCATTCATTCATTCATTCGTTCAGAGTTTGAAAATTCTGAAACTGGTCAGGTTCGTCTGTTGGCGGATTTTAGAGTGGTTAGATTGGGTCGGCCTTAACTAGCTGCTTGGTCAAGCCATGCCTATAATACATTGTGCAATTTAGGGCTGTTCAGGATGAATGATGACCAGCATGAAACAATGGTGGCAATTTGTTTGATCTTGGCTCATAAATGGTCCTACATCATACTCTGTCTGAGCTTCAAAGATGGCCATTGTCAAGTTTTGTGACCAACCCTCGCAAACCCATGTATAAACATTAAAACAGTTTAAATACGAATTCACACTATTAACTGCTGGCTTATTATCTGCTTATTATTAAGATATTGATGGTTTATTTTACTTAAAAAGTATGATTTTATTCCACATCCTTAATCTACCCAATATCTAAAGCCAAGTACTACCTTACTGACTATTGTTAAGCAGTAAAACAGTGGTTTATTGGGTTAAAACATGTGTAGTTTATATATAAATAGCATTAGTTGTACATTAGGTGCACATTCCCTTCCACAACTTTTAATTTATTCAGTACAATACTGCAAAAGCATTATTCATCGTTGTATTACTCTGTAATGTGTGTGTGTGTGTGTGTGTGTGTGTGTGTGTGTGTGTGTGTGTGTTTGTGTGCACATTTTTACCAATACACACATTTGACTAGTGTCATGAGTATAACATAAATGACATAGGAGATATAACGAATGTGACTTTACAGAAACACAATTCATTCATTCTTTTCCTTTGGCTTAGTCTCTGATTTATCAGAGGTTGCCACAGCGGAATGATCCAGCTTATGTTTTAAACAGCAAATGCCCTTCCAGGCGCAACCCAGTACTGGGAAACACTCATGCACTCTTGCATTCATACACACACACACACACACTCATACAATACGGCCAATTTAGTTCATCTAATTCACCTATAGCATTATGCATTTGGATTGTGGGTGAAACAAGAGCACCCGGCGGAAACCATGCACCACCACATCAAAAGCAAAGGTCAGTGTCTAATCCAATCCCTGAGGTATTTACAACCTGGAAAAGAAGTCTTTTCCTTCTGAACAGAAAATTGCTCCTGCTTCTATAAAACCCACCTTATGACCTTTTATATAATCAGCTATGATAATTCTGGATTTCCCTCTCAAGTGTTTTCAACAAGTCTATCGTTGCGTATTAATCGTCTATGTTTTTAAACATTTGGAATTAATGTTTTAACACTACATTTACCTTTTAAACAAGATCACAGATAGGTCAAATCAAGATATGCTTGATATCCCTGTGGTGGTATGTTGTTTAACCGAACGATAGTTTACATTATATTGTACAGTATACTTGTGCAACATATTTTAAGAATTTGTATGTAAATAAATGCTTTATTTGGTCAATTTCTCCACTGTTGTGACTTAATCTAAAGTGAGGACTATTTCTGCTTCATTAATCACTTAAAGGATCGGTTACAGAAAAAAAAAAAAAAAGACTTTATTTATTTCTACTCATTAGAAGATACACAAATTAAACTGTATCAAATGAAAAATAAATATGTGCAATCTTAACTGAAGTAATGAGGTATTTAATTAATTTAAGAGTTCAAAACTCTATTCAAATAAGTAGAATTAACTTTCTGTCAATTTTGAGTTAACTACACTCATTTTATTTGTTAGGTTTTACAGTATGCATATAGAGCATGAAACGATGTATAATACTATATAGAGCAGGTAGCAAAAATCGGCAGGATTAAAGACTTCAGGAGTGACACAGAGATTGCATATACACTAGACACATTTATACGAGGTCTCGAAGCAATTACTTCTTCCAAAAAGCAGCTAATCAAGAGATTATGCCATTTCGGACACAGCCCCTGATTAGTTCATTACCCTGTCAATGTGAAAACACCCGCCAAGCATGTGCTCTTCATCACTGTGATTGGCTGATTATTCTGTCAGTGCTGATTACCTCCTCTCCTGCTCGCAACAAGTCCAAAAATCAGCCTGAATAGGTCAAACTGGTGGAATTTTTTGTCCTTTCAAGGTAAATGGGTCAATGATTGCATAACTTCATCTTCAGTGGCACAAAATGAACTAAAAATGATTGTCGATACGTTGCCTTGCCAAAATAAACACTTTATTTATTATTTTTTTTTGCAACACTTGATTTTTACAGAGGCCTTGTTATGCATGTTTCACATACTTACTATAGTAGTAACAATTAAGTATGTATAAGCACATGTAAATAACCTTAAACGTAACCCTCATCACAACCCTAGCCATAAAACAAGTACATGTAGTTAAATAAATATTGCTCAGTATTAAAGGGTAACCTTTTCACACAATTATTAATTGTACTTTTTACCACAACATAAGTATTGTTTATTTATTTATTTATTTATTTATTTATTTATTTATTTATTTATTTATTGATTTATCTATTTATCTATTTATTTATTTGTGTATTTATTTATTTATATTTGTTATTCTTGGAATATGCTTCCAAGTTGGTATCACATCCAAAAAATAAATAAATAAATAAATAAAAATATATAAAAAAATAATAAACAATTATAATAATAATAAAATAAATAAATAAATAAATAAATAAATAAATAAATAAATAAATAAATAAATAAATAAATAATTATAATAATAAAAAAGATAAACAAACAAACAAACAAACAACTAATAAATAAATAAATAAAAATACAAAAAAAGGGTCAAATTATATTTCAGAAACCATCAGCATGTAGCTGTGATTAAAAGTAAAAGGTAATACATTATATGTTGGATTAAATCAATTAATATTTTTTTTATGTCTATTTGATGCTTTTCACATTCAACAAAATAGCATATTTAATAGCTTTTCAGACAAAATTTGCCCTGTGATTACTTTCGATTAATAAAATTGTATTTAGATGATTTAATCACATTGTGTAATGAATTACATTTGCTAATTTTGATAGTGTAACAGCCCTTGTAAAATGTAAACATAGTCTTTATAATAACATACAGTGTTTTTAATTATAACCATTTTTCAACAAATTTCACCCATTTTCTACAGTGGGTATGGAAAATATTCAGAGCCCCTCGAATGTTTCTCTCTGTTATATTGCAGCCATTCGCTAAAATATTTCTGTTCATTTTTGTCTTCATCAATGTACACACAACACCCTACATTGGCAGAGAAACACAGAACTGTTGACATTTTTGTAGATTTATTAAAAAATAAATAAATAAATAAATCAAAATATTACATGCTCCTAAGTATTCAGACCATTTGTTGTCACACTCATATATTAAACTCAGATGCTCTCTGTTTCTTCTAAACATCCCTGAGATGGTTTTACACCTTCACTAGAGCCAGCTGTGTTTGATTATACTGATTGGACTTGATTAGGTAAGCCACACACCAGTCTTTATAAGACCTTACAGCTCACAATACATGTCAGAGCAAATAAG